GGCCTCTGTAAACAATTACAAAGTGTTGCAAGAAACAGGTTAAGTTTCAGTATCAGAGATGTAGACGAACAAGCGGTTCACAGCATTACTATGGCGTACGTTTTTCATGTACATTCAATAAAAAGTAACCGAAAAGGATAGTTGAGTGGTCCTAGTGAGTGATTTTAATCTACACACTAAAACAAAATTAGATGATTAAATTTAGATACTGCAACATATCAAACATTTTTAGCAGTTGCTTAGACTCAAGCATAAACAATAGATTCAATCTAGTGCAGCAACTTTTGAACCGCTAATCCAAGTTATGTACAGCAACGTTTGATGCGGCTAATCCAAGTTATGTACAGCAACGTTTGATGCGGCTAATCCAAGTAATGTACAGCAACTTTTGATGCCGCTAATCTAAGTTATGTACAGCAACGACTTGATATTCAAATAGCAAGACTCTGGAGGATACTGATTTGAAAGATATGGAGGTCACACATTGATAAGTATGATCTATTGTTGAACAAAGTGGTATTGCAAGAAAAGTGATAATAGATTTATAAGTATTTCTCACACGTTGATGTAATAAAATATCTACTGTTTTTCAAAATTTTCAAACAGTAAGAGAATTACCAGAGGACCTACCAAACATTGGATATTATTAAATAGCAAAATTATCCTAAGCTTTTTGGAGTCGGACAAATGCAATGAAGAGTATTGGAGAATAATTGTAGATATTAATGTAAGCATAAAATAGATCACTTCACTTTGGAATGAAACATGTATCGAGTATCCATGGTGCTGACGTTAGATACGATTTGGAAAACAGAAGCAAACTAAACAGAATGATTTATACCAACCTAATGCTAACAAAGTAAATACGAATATATTTTCATTACACACGTCTATGTGTTAGTTTCTGGTTCTTAAAAGTTTAGTATATAAAACTCATTCGGTAAGCAAAATAAATGACACGGATGTATACGAAATGTGAACACATATTTTCATACATGAACACAAAAATAGCACAAGATTTAAATAAGTACTGACAAAATTCGCGAAATTCGCAGGTTTCGGAGCACTTAACTTCAGTTTGGTGCAACGTAAAATAGTCAACGATGGCTTGATGGTTAGAAAAACATCTTAGGAGAAAAACAATCTATAGAATATGATTTCATACCGTTAGAGACGAAAATAGCAAAAGGAAAACTAGGGTCATGGGTGGAATGAAGTGTTCGGAAGTTACAAACCTTGTATCTTATATAGTATGATAGAGAGGATCCAATGTCAGAACGGGTCATGGGGGTAATCAGATATTTGTGTCACTTTGTATGACGTTTTCCTTACGATTATTACTTGGGTTTCTTTTTCACATCAAGGTCGCATCGAGTACCTGTGCACGCACGCACACACACACACACACACACACACACACACACACACACACACACACACACACACACACTCCAAGACATTCTGATAATAATGTTGTTTAAAACACTTGGAATTGTTGTTTACGTTTATATCAAGTTCACAAATAAAGCTGCTTCATAAATGATTATCTGGTGTTCTGTTTCAATCGGCGATTTGCTTCAGCACAACACTTGTAGCATTTTCATTTTTTTTTCTTTTAGTAGCAGTGGTGTTCCATAATGGGCAACACGACAGTGGGTAACTATTGAAGATAAAACAATTGTTCTATAAACTTTTTTTAAAAGCCTCATACATTAGAACGATTACACTATTTTAAATTAAAAATTAGTCTGACATTTACTCTTACTGCTGTCATGGAAAATTTCGTTCGGTCTAAACGTTTTTGAGTGAAACTGGCATTTTGCCATACCCTTGTTCGAGACAGAGATACAGAGCAACTAATGTTCTGGAAAGTTTGAAGTCAACAGGGGACTGTATTTTATTTTATTTGTTCTACTCTAAGGAATTAGGACCAAATATTAGATCTCTTTGAAGACAAGATATTGCATCTCTTTGTGTGCAATGCACAGATAACCGTTCTTAACTGAAGCAATTATTTGCGATTCTCTAATGTCGCTGTGAAAATATTTTTATAAAAAAAAGTATTTTTCTATTTTTCTAGTTATCAGTTGAAAAAGAAACTAAGCACAAATAAGAAATAAAATTTAGAAAAGTTTTTTTCTTTTGTGCGGGAATGGAACCGAAAGAATAAGGGAGGTAATTGGCGTTCATCTTTGACATAACCACATGATGGTATTTAAATATCTAAATCGATAAACCGTATTCCACAATAAGTACAAGTTTGAATTGAAAAAATGAAGGTGTATGAGGAGGACATAAGTGATAATTCTGATTGCCAAATTAGATGTTATTCATTTTAATTAATTAATTAGAAAGCATATGAAAGATCCTAAAGAAGAGATAAATCAAAATATAGAGCTGTCAGTACTGACAAATGGAAATACAATTAAAAAGAAAGATATAAAAAATACTATTTGTATGGACTTGGCCTTTAAGAGTCAGTTGCAATCACATTTTCAGCAATCTTTATTGATCTTCCTTCTTCGGCATTTACGCTTATAGAAGATAAAATAATACCTACTGAATGACACTGGTCTAGAACGTTATCAATCACGTTATTCTCGCTTTGCCTCAGTCCACCTCAATAGCATGCAATCAAATTTAGCCAGTTTCACCTAGTTGATATGTTTCTATTTGTCAGAGAGTTTGCTTCTTTCTAATTATATGAGTCATATATGTTCGATGCCTTTTGTGTTCCCATTTATAAAAGACCGTCCGGTGAGGGATGCATCGTAAGCACAATGTTTCTGTAAAGGAGTATGCGTAAGTTAGAATGTGTGTGTACATTCACAACAATTGATTATGTCTGTGAGTTTTGAGTTTTTATTTAAATAATACATACGTCATATGTCTAGCATGTGCAAGCAGACTGAAATAAGGACTTTATATTTTTGTGTATTTTTGCTGTTTTATTTGCTTTTCTGTCTTTGTGTCGAAATCTAAGGAACAAATCGATGATATGCTTCAATTTCTTAGTGGGTTTATTTCCAAACTTTGGACTCCTATTTCGCACGCACCCATAACATCACGCTGTGAATGACTTCGTACAACTTTTTAGCTTTGCATAGATATTGCTGATGTCATAAGTTAGCACTCCTCTTCAATCATCAATCTTTTTTTCCTATTTTCAGAACTAATGATGAAAACAAAGGAAGAGAATTTTTCAATCCATTAAATATAATTAACATAGATGAACATGAAGCGAATTTATTTAAAGCGCATTTACCCTTTCATGATTCTTAAATGAGACCGATACATTTATTATAAAGTAAGGCGCACTCCTGTGCAATCAATCATCTATTACTTAAATATTATGCATATCATTATTTCTGTACAGTAAATGATATTTTATATCTTGAATCATGAATGGCGTGCTAGAAGACACGATTAGAATGATTTATACCCTCAATTGTCTTCTACATCGTAATAATTTGAAAATAATTACCGAAAAAAGAGTCTGTGTATTACAGACGCTTTGAACACTGAAGCAGACATTATGGAATGTTTTAGTATTTCGGGATCATCCATCCGATACCGCTGGGAAAGCCCCTACATGCTGATTAATGCATCATCTGATACATTATGAAGGATCACACCAAGACGAGTGTCAAATTTAATTCTGTATCCAAATTTTTTTCTTCTCTCATAATGTGCTATTCATGGAGAATTTCAAAGAATGCTTGGTTAGTTAAATAATAGATTTCTTTTAAAACTTTCCGCTCAGTTTGCTGTATGCTTTTATTTATATCTATATATATATATATATATATATATATATATATATATATATATATATATATATATATATATATATATATATATATATATATATATATATATATATATATATATATATATATATATATTAATACAAACAATACTATCATGCAGGTTAGATAAATTACATTCGTATTCTACTGAGTTTCGAACCCAGGTCTGCGAGTAATCGGCACCCATCGCCTTGCCTGCACGCACCAGCCCATATACCGTCACCACTAAGCACGCATCACCAAAACGTGATGGCACTGAATCGGTGTTATACAAGCTTGTGCGTAGCAGACACACTCGCCTGACGACCCAGTAAATAATTCTCATATATATGCACAGTCGTCCAAGATTCCTATGAAAGAAATCAAAATCAAGGTATGTAGGATTTTTTGTATTAAAAGAATTATAAATGTATACCAGACAGAACAGACAGTGATATCCCTGGATTCTATAGAAGAATCTTGATTATATATATATATATATATATATATATATATATATATATATATATATATATATATATATATATATATATATATATATACTAATTGATTTTAATTTCTAGCTTGAGAATTCTAATTTAGTCAAATAAGTACAAGCAATAGAAAAGTAGTTAATTCATAAAAACTAACTACAAAGAAAGAACTAAATATATATTTTTTTTTCAGATGGAACAGAATGAGAGACCAATAATGACTATTGAAAAAGTCAAAATTCTTAAATAAGACATCATATTTTATTGTCACATGCCCCATCTTTATTTCGTTTGTTATATCAAAAGAGTGACTTGGCCATTCAAATAAGAATTTTACCTATCATGATATTGTCATTTATTTGTGAAGACTTTAAATAGCACAGCTGTTATATTGTAATACTAATGCGCGCGCTCGCCCGTGTGCATGTTTGTGTGTGTTTGTGTGTGTGTGTGTGTGTGTGAGAGAGAGAGAGAGAGAGAGAGAGAGAGAGAGAGAGAGAGAGAGAGAGAATTTTAGCGTAGCTTTAACATTTTTTCAGTCATATCTATAGTGTGACAGTTTTGATGTCTACCACTGGCGCATTATGCCGCAGAGATGTAGAATCATGTCCAACCCAGTCACATTATCCTGACACGAGGCCGACCAGTCCTAACACTAACCTCTTAATGCTGAGTGCCAAGCGAGGCATCTGTTACTACCAGTTTTATGTATTTGGTATGATTCAACTGGGGATCAAACCCACGACCTCCCGCATCTGAGGTGGACGCTCTAACCACAAGGCCACTGGAGCGATTTAATATTAGCGAGGTCATTTGATAATTTGGAATAAAATTACGACTTGACAAGAACGATGTGACACACTGTACCCGCAAATCTGGATAATAATACTCAAGGTATCGTGGAATTGTTTCTACCATTTTTCCATGAATACTTTAATTCTGAAGATAGAAAAGTGAATAGAAGTTTAATTGTACAGGCCAGAGTTGATCAAGTCCAAAAACAATTACACTGTTAACTAATTTTGTGTTAAGTGGTCCTCTTCCGGCATTCCAAAAGTATTCAAAACTTTCTCCAGAAAAAGCGTTTGCTGATTACAACGGCCTTCATTAATGAGTTGTCTAGCGGCTTAAGATGGTGCAGATTCTTTTACACTATATAACTGAAAATAATTCAAAGAATACAAAAACCCACGAAATATCATGATGGATAATGGATTCAATACGTGACTAGCTCTCTGTTCAACATTAGCAGTTGTCCCTTTCTACTTTGATCCAGTACTTCCCTTTCCCTATGATATTTAAAGGAATGTTTCGTAATAAATATTCGGATCATTATGGTTTCAGCGAACAGCAACATTAATAACAACAACAACAATATAATAATAATAATAATAATAATAATAATAATAATAATAATAATAATAATAATAATAATAATAATAATAATAAAAGTAAGAAGAAGAAGAAGAAGAAGAAGAAGAAGAAGAAGAAGAAGAAGAAGAAGAAGAAATAGAAAAAGACCAAATCTGTTCAGGTGGTAATGATGATCCAGTTAAGCAAAGTATGTATGTATGTATGTATGTATGTATGTATGTATGTATGTATGTATGTATGTATATATATATATATATATATATATATATATATATATATATATATATATATATATATATATATATATATATATATATATAGATGCAATAAACTGACGACGAACAGTACGAAACTAGTAACTAACTAGCCTAAGCGCTTTCGACTCTTAATGAGTCTTTTTCAAAGGCAAATACAAAACATAGTTACGACAAACAAATAAACACAAAAACGTTGCGTTTGTAAACCTCTACATTTCTATCTTCACATGTGCTAAAACTATAAATACAACCAGCTTGTATAGACTAGTTGCGGAAACTGAAAACGTTGTATAATTCCCTAAAAGTCTACAAGCCAAAGCGACATCTATTTTTACTTTGTGTACATATGTAACGCAGATTATATCCCGGATATTTGGTTCTATACCGGTTATTCTTATAGTAAAAATTGAAGGATAAGAAGATTTAGAAAATGATATATTCTACTAGTGCATAGTTTTCATTTTCTAGTCTTCTTGGTTTAGACCGCTTGGTTTCAATGTTCTAAGGCGGCGTATCCAGTATGATTCCTTTTCCTTCCTGGTTTCGGAACTCCAGCTGTGGTTGTTGGCAATAGCGATAAGTATTATATCACTGAAAGTGTGGCCAGGGGAGGAGAAGTGTTCTGCGACCGGGCTTCTGTACAGCTTTTTTGTCATCCAATCAGATCTATGAAGGTTTATCCTTATGTGTAGCTTTTCAGTTTCTCCCACGTACTGAAGGCCACAGATCTTACATGTGATGAGATAAATCACATTCTCTGTTTTGCACGTTTTGTTTGGACCATGTATGTTTAGTTTTTCTTTAGTCACTGTGCTAGTGAATGTCTTGGTCTCTATCATATGTTGACAGGTTTTGCATCTTTTATCGCCACAGGGTCCAGATTGACTAGGTTGGTTTTGACTAGCGATTGTTGTTAGCTTGGCCCTGACTAGGATGTCCTTTAGGTTTTTTGGTCTCCGGTAAGCTACTACAGGTTTGTTCGGAAGTATTAGGTTTAGTATGTCTGACGATTGCACGGTTGGCCAGTGGTTTGCGATGATTTTACCTACTTTGGGATTGTCTGGGTGATAGGTCAGAATAAATGGTATCCTATCAACCTTTTCTTTCTGTCCATATCTGAGTAGGTCATCACGGTTTGTTTGTTTGGCCCTTTGGATTGCCTCCGCAATCTGGTCTTTGTCGTAGCCTCGGTAAATTAAATGTTTAGCCAGCTCTTCAGACCTTTCTAGGAATCTTTCATCGTCGGAGCAAATTCTGCGTATCCTCAGTGCCTGGCTATATGGAATGTTCTTAATGCAGTGTTTTGGATGACAGCTGGTTGGGAGAAGATACTGGTGTTTGTCGGTTGGTTTCGAGTAGATGTCTGTGTGTAATTTGTAATTTATAGTGATAACTAGACTGGGGCATCATGCCGTAGACATGTAGCATGATGTCCCTCCCAGTCACATTATCCTGACACCAGGCCAACCAGTCCTAACACTAACCTCTTAATGCTGAGCGTCAAGCGAGGCAGCTGTTAGTACTATTTTTGTAAGTCTTTGGTATGACTCGACCGGGGATAGAACCCACAACCTCCCGCATCCGAGGCGGACGCACAGAGCGGTTTCAAAAAAGAAAATGTAAGCAATAACAATTTAATAACAGCTCTAAATATTCACACAACGAAAATAAATTTTCACAATTTCTCCACTTGACATATTTAATCTGCCAAATTCATCTTCTGATGTTCAACTTACGTGTTCCGCCGGTGCCTCGACTTCGTTCTTAACCCTTCCACTTCCTCCGCTTCCGTTCTCCGGTCAGCCTCCAAATATTTGCTTCTGTTATTCTATTCGGTCACGTGGCCTCTCTAACAACGTCTCCCTTCTTCGTCATCTTTGGGTGGCAATTGGTCAAACACAAACAACTCCAAACAGCACCGAAAGCTTTTACTTAAAAAAAAACTTTTGAAGTCTAAATTTCAGTATAACTTTCGCGAATGCCGCGCAATCCGAGTACGTCTATTATAATTCAATCCCTAACTTATTAGACCTTTGCATTTGTCAAAATCCTATAGAATACTGAAGTGATCGTAAAATTACATGTAGAATAAAGGTCTGCTTCGGACAACTGCCCGTCCATACTTCCCTAACTCAGACCTGATTGGATACTGGGATCATTTTTAACTCTCTATTGCCTAGTTTCTCACGCGTATGTCAATTTTTTTTTTCTCCAGCGGTAGGTTTTGCCTTGGGCGCAAATAAACGACCTCCTCCGGTTTTGCCAAGTACTTCGTCTCTTTGAAGACGGACACGGCTTTATTCCTTCCAGTGTCGATTCAAGCAACAATCTTGCGCAAAAATGGTCAGTGCCAATCTCAAGGCGACATTTTACTCCCCAGCTAAGCTGTGTACATGAGGCTATCTTCACAACGTGACAAATTGTAACCAGGAAACCTTTGTGGAAAAAGTAATTCCAGCCATATTTGAAGGGCAGGTGATAAGGAATCAGAAACTGAAAGCATGTTTTCTTACGTTCAGAATATGACTATACACTTCTGACTCTTTCTTGGGTAAAGGTTGATAGGTGCATAATGAAAAGAAAGACTGGCCAATTTTTATATGTTGAATACATACCAATTGTTCTGGCGTAATTATACGGATCCGACTGCGAAATGCATTGAACTAGATCTGATGTTTTATAATGTGCTGGTAGATCTGAATCAGTCTATGTTATGAGTAATCAGCAGAAAAAAAAAACAGAATAGACATTGATGTTTTCGCATTATGCGACCGCAGATAAAAGGATATTTTTTCAGTTGGGGTTCTTTTGACGGGAGGGGGATGTTAGAATTTGTATGTGATGTATAAGCCATAATATACGGAAACAAATAGTTATTGACCCTTTAAATTTATAAAAGTATTTCTCCTGAAACATGAATTAATAAAGTTATTTCTTACACTGAACAGGCTGTGCAAACACACAAGAAACAAAAATTATACTGCAAACCTAGAGGTCAAAGGTTTTCCAAAGATTTAATTGGCATCAATAGCAAAAACAATTTTTGAAATAAATCAAGAAAATTTTGTCCTTGTAATGGCTTGAATTGTGGACCAAAATTAATAAATAATCATAGTTTCTTTTTAATAATAAATGTTGCTAGAATATAACAATAGGATGGCATTATTGTCAAATTATACAGCAATTTTCCTTTGATTTTGTTTTAGAATTTTATCGATTATACCATTTAAAAGAGTGGACATAAAAAGGAAAAACATAGGGTGTAACCCAAAGCATTGATAAATTTATTGTACGAATTCATATACTGATTGATCTCTTCAGATGACTCATGCAATCTGCCAATTGTGATTTAATTACTTGTAATTTAATAAGATTGTAATTTAATTGCTCTTTTCTGTACCACATAAAAGGACTGATAGTTTGCTACTAAAGTTCTAAACTTCAAGCCCTCATTGCACTTTGTAAAACTTTTTGAACCATCAATAATTATATTACTATAGCACTGTGTTGTAAATATTAAGAAAATCGACCTTTAAATAATAAATAACGAGGTGTAAATTACTAATAATATCCTTTCAAGCAATTCTCCTCCACACTCCCCAAATGGTAATGAGATTGTATAGAGTAATTTGAACCTAAAAAGGAAGACATAATACTGATATGTATTCACTAACTTGTAGAATTTCCTAAGCATTTTAATGGACAGGCATTTTCTTCACGGTAATTTATATTCACTGTGCATCTAATTCCTTAAGGTTCAACATGAAGTAAGAATTTGTTATTACGTATGTTTCGGTGTGAGAAAGAAATTGTAAATCCTAGAGAAATCCATTGACTACACATGGGCTAAGATACTTTTATCCTGTTACCCTTCGTCCTTCCATCGCCCACCCTCGTGTCCCATTACCTAATGATGGCTAAGAGTGGTTTTTGTTTCCTTGCTTTCTAGCTTGTCTGCTACATTGTGTAATCCTTCCTGTACTGTGCAGTCAAAAATGAAATATATTTATTTTTCTTCCTGATGCCGCGTGGATGTTAATTCAAGCATTTGATTAATCAAATGTGTTGACCAATCAAACATACGAAAATATTTATAAATATAACCCTTTTATTAGGATCTATAAGGATGGGTTTTCAGGCAATAAGATCACGTCACAAGA